CAGCAAAATTTATATTTAGGAATTTATATTCTCTCACTCACTGGAACTGCTGTGTACTTACTTTGCAAATTAGTTACTTTTGTTCTTTGATTTAATTCTGCTTTGAGAAACTTAAAAGAGTAGATATAAAAAGTAGGAGAAATAAGTGTCTGATGTAACAGATACTGCTTTTTCTTCTCATTTAAAATGAGAAGAAAAGCTTTGTAACATCGTCACATACGTGTATGCCATATAAGTCTATGTGTACTATATAAATTCTTTCGCTTTTCAAAATGTTAGACAAGTATATATATATGCGTTTATATGAAGCATGTTTTTCTTCGTTACAAGTTTACATCGGACAAAATACACGTGAGAAATCCATTGACCATTTGCACTACCTACAGAACGAAAGAACATCTTGTAGCAATTTTATTCATTGCAAGAAACACATGCTAACGCTTCCATCCTTTAACGCAAGCTTGATTCTTTTTACTGCAAGATCTTGTTTCTTGCAGTGAAGATGGTTACTGCAAGAAGTGACAAGAAAAGTGTTCTTGCTTTCTTGCGCAAGAAAGATAGTTTCTTGGGGGAAGAAAGAGGCAAGAATGTACAAGAAACAATTCTTGGGCAAGAAATGTCACAAGATCTTGCATTCTTGCTTAACAAGAACATCGACTAGGGCACTTTCTTTGACCTTGCACAAAAGAATCTGAAAGGGAATTTTCCTTTTTTATACATAAGAGAGACGCCAATTCTAATGACAGGATAGAAAAGGAAAAGAAGCAATATTAGTAGTGACAAAATGTCACTACCTAACACTGACCACAGGTCATTTTAACTAGTCATAGAACTGCCAGAGTATCCGATGCCACGTCTAAACCATGACAGTTGAAGAGTTTGAATAACTCCTACTTTTTAGGCGCTAGGTTGGGCTATTTTTACAGATAAAAAAGTGAGTGTATTACCACTTCAGTAATTGGAAATCCAACGAGGTTTTTCAGCGATCCTTTCAAAACTCTAGTTCGGAAAGAGATTTTAAATTTATGAAAAGATACGACAAAGTCTTCGTTTCCAAATACTGAAAATTTAAATTCCTTATCTTTTTTGTTTGCAAAGTTCTCTAAACAACAGTGACTGATGTTTATTTCGAAAACGATAATAGAGTATTCAAGTTAAAAAAGTCACACGAACGATTATTAAAGTGTTTCTCAAGATAATCATACAAATGTAGAACGATTGATAGGATACAAAAGATCGAATCTTTTGTACTACACCGAACTTCAAATCATGTATTATGATATCTTGTATATTTATCTGATTAGCATATCTCCTATGCCTGCAAAAAATAATTATCATCATCATTGAAAAGATATGTATATGAATGGGTATAAACTATATGACGGAAATTGCTTATCTATGTAAATTCATACTTTATTTCTTGTTAACAGTCTAATTAAGGGTGTTTTTCTCAAAAACATATATATATATACGTCTAATTATGTCGATAGACATTATGTGTTTTTGCTGGGAATTTTGTTTTTTTTCTTGTTTAGTCACTTCTTTTTGCAAAATATGCACGACGTGATCTAGCAAACTCCTGTAGAAAACTTCTGAAAACGCGAGGCTAGTCTATGGATACCGCAGATTGACAACTGCACGTTCTTTTTTCAAGTGCAAGTCTAGATTCGACGCCATAAGCTACACAAGTGGAAGAAAAATGTGCTTCGCACTCGAAAGCTTTCTAAAGTTTATTAGTGTCAGTTTTCCGGCGTTGTTTGTTCTTAAGAAGGAAAATAATTCTCTCTCATTTCTCTTTCTCTGTTCTTCATATTTTGTTCTCTATTCTATTATTCTCTCTAATTATCTCATTTAAAGTAGCTGGAATAGAAAATCACAGTGAAAATGGTGCAGTATCTACTGACTGAATTGGCAGCTGTTAGCAGAGACAGGGTCTGTCGATATCGCAACTTGTGCGTAGCACAATTGTTCTCTAGTTTTATGATCTAAATTTGCCGGACAAACATTGTAAACACGTGATAATAGATTGGTTAATAATAGCAGACATTATTATCATGATATTTTGTATGATAGCGTTAATATTTATATTAGGTTTTTATTCTTGTCATTCTATTTGAGCACCCGCATTGTCTTACAATGATTAATCTATTAGCGCCAAATACAAACTGTCCAAATTTAATTTTAACTTTGATCACATTACGGACTATTTCATTTATATACAGTCATAATTTGTCTAAACGGACTCTGATGATTAACAATCAGTTGTGCCTATTGAGAGGCTATTTGGCCTATATGAGTGATAATTTATTATGCTCATCATTTGCTTTATAAGGGTTGTATTGTTATAATTATAAAAGACGTTTACATAAGCACCGATTTTATTTCAAATTATTTATTTCACAACGAATAAAGATTTATCCAGTATGGACGACTTGGACTCGCCTGTAAAAAGTTCCTAAATAATTATGCAAACTTATCTAGTTTTTTTGCGAAGAGATGAAGCCTACCTTGTTACTTCGATAGAATCACCATCAAATGAGCTTTGAAAATACATATTACTTCGTTTTATATTGCTTTTTTCCTGAGAAAATTCATTTTTCCTAGATCAAGAGCACAGAACATCGTAATTCTGCTCATAATGTCTATTTTCTTCATCAAAACTCAACTTTTGTGCAATAAAACTGTCATATTCGCAATCAGCGTCAAAAACTAAGTCCATATCTATATTGGATAGATCTTTGACTTCGATCTCGATCAAATATCATTCTCATACTTAATTTTTAATGCTGAATTTGAAAAAATACTGTCCGAAAGTTAGAAGAACGAAAAAGAAAGAAATTTGCAATTTTTTTGAACTAAAGGTTTTTTCGAAATTTTAAACTTTTCGAATTTTTTCAGTTTTTCTTCCTTAAAATTTTCTTTTTTAAAACTGAAACTACTGTTCCTTACTCAACTCGATGAGTTTTATCCAACCATGTATTAACACCGCGAAAAAAAAAAATGGTGCTCAAGTTTCGCATTTCCTACACCTTACATTTAGTTACTTATGTTAAAAAAAACAAAAACTCGAGTCTCTGATACATCTAGTGCAAGAGTATATCGCCGATTAAAAATGGTTAAACATATTATTATCATCATAATCATTCTTATCGTATTTTCTCTATCACATATGACTTCGCTAATTTTTAACTATGTCCTCACTATTAACTTTAAAAGAAAAAAAAGAAGTTATAGTGCTTGAGCTTAATGTATTTCTTTTCAAACTTGAACATCGCTTTTTCGATCTTTCCCATCGTTTTTTGCATTCTTTCCACATCATTAGCATGAGATGTTGAACTAATAACACAAATAATTCCACTATTCCCATAAAACTCATCAAACTAATACCAATCCAAAGCCCTGAAGAAGAAGATTCAGTACTTTATATAAAGAAAAAGAAAAAGAAGAGTGACCTACCAGTTTGTCCACCAATACTTGATACTAGATCAGTCCATGTCCATATAGGTGTTTCAGTTAAAATTTCTGTACCATAAGTACTGGCACTTATTTCAACAGCTACCATATTTTCGCGTATAATTTCACGTCGATTACCCTTCGTATCTTGTAGTAGAGTAAATGATGTATCATTTTTGAAATGTTCTTCAATATCCCGCCAAACTTTATCGTAAGATTTTACATTCGGATATTTAGCATATGATGTCTGAATATTATACTGAAATGTTTCACATTCAGGTAAACATTCTGTGCAATCATCTGAGCCTTAAATAGATATTTATATTTGTAAAAATAAATATATGTGCATGATATATTTTACTTACTGAAATTTTGTTTAACTGCCACACATGTTTCGGTGAGATTACATACTGTTGCCGATGCTATTGTTCCATTAACATCCAGTGTACTAGATCGAAAAAACATCATTGCCAATGGTTCAATACAATGACAATATCGTAAAATAAATAATTGTTCACAAAATCTAATACATAATGCTTGTGTATAAACATTATCTTCATTTGTTTTGAATTTTGATGACATTTCTGATGTCAATTCTTTTCGACAGGGTGATGCTCGACTACTAACGTGGCGAATGATGCGTTTTGAAAATACTAATTTTGAATAAGTATTTGGTGCTAGATAAAGACTATTTTGTGCCACTATTGGAACTTCATGTTTTCGATGTAAAAATGCTCGAAATGCAGCTTTTTCATCTAAATGTTCACTATAATATTGTTGATGCAAATATAATTCTAATGATAATGTATAATCATTATTATTTGTTTCACCAATACCCTTGATAGAGCGGAAGCTACTTTGTCTACCAACTTTCTCATGATCGAATGTGTAACAATTACCATATTCCGGATGAAATAAATTTCGAAATGCTCCGTCACATGCTCGACCGTTGAAAGTACACTTTAATAACATATCTTCTAACTTATAACCATATGTTGTTCGAATTTGATCATAATTACTTGTACCGTTATTAGAAAAATTTAATAAACGATATAAATGTTCGGCTAAAGCTTGCTTGAATTCATCCGCTGTTAAATTTTTAGCAAATCTCATTCCCTCTGACAGCTGTGGATCATCAGGCTCTTCGACTGAATTACGCTTTCCTGGTGATATTGGTTTTGGCTTGATCATTGATGTATTTAGCACCTTCCACCAGTCTGTTGTGTTTAACCAACGTGAAATTGTTCGATTTTTTTCCCGCTGATAGTCATAATTAAGCTTTTCTGAGAATAAATCAATTCGTATAGGATTTATATTACAAAAGGTAAATGCTGGAAAATGACTAGAATTCGTTTCGTATTTCATTTCAATACTAATTTTTGTTGGACGGGACATGTATTGAACAGTCACATCTTGTATGGAATAAATCATTGCTGTTGTAAAAACAGCGACTATAATTAACCACAGTATTAGCTGACTTTTTGATTTTGCTCGACCAATACGACCAATACCGTGGCTAGGTGAATGAGTTAACCATTGTTTGATAATTGATGTAGCAGTTTCATCTTCCTCACCTTCAGTCCCCTTTTTATTATCATTTTCTAAACAAAGAGTCGAATGCTAATTGTCCGAAAAAATTCAAACCCTTTTGAGACGCTAAATAGACGTTTATGTTGATTTTTGGCTATTCAACAATTCTCTCCCAAATATGCAAAACATATTAATCTGTTTTTCTAAATTTAGATCAATGCAGCTGATGAACTGAGACGTTCAGGTTGCTTACCTAAAGGCATTGTTTCTATAGAAAGATGGTTCTAACAAACTATCGTCATAATCATAATCATCAACATCATCTTCATTACTTTCATCGATCTATTATGAATTTTATTCTTTTTTTTAAACTAATATTCGCCTTAATCCATCATTCATATATGATGATTGATGTTTTTCAATATTATTCTATAAACATGCAGCTCTCTCGTCAGTTCAAAGTGAATGAAGAATAAGAAAATAACTCGGTCCACCTTTTTTTCCTTCTCAGTAGTAAGTACATAAAGAAATTTATTAACGATATTGAACAAATATTCTTTGAATAGTAAGTTATTGAGGAATTTGAGTAATCTCAACTTTTTGATTTATTTATGTGCAATTTTTTTATTAAACATACCTAGATCTCATTTACAGCATTTCTTGTCTTCGAATAACGTTGTGGTCTCGATATGTGTTTTTATACAAATAAACCAGGTACAAACCAGGTAAGCAATAATGACTTTTTATTAAAATGATGGCTATTACTGAAATTTTTTACTTCGTTTTTTATCTGTACGTTTGAAATATAATAAATCCAAACGACTTCTTTTTTCTATAGATGAATCAATATCAAAAAGTCACCGCGCAGTTGTTCAGCTAATGTTGCTACACAATGATCAAGTCTATAAGCGCATAAGATATGAGACCAATGGCCATTCGTGTGTGTTTTGTTACTTGTTCAATTCTGTGTTCGTTGTAGAAAACACGCTTCGACTGTTCGATCCAATCATCGTGTTTTTTTATTTTTATTAGTACTGGTTCCGCTTAGTGAAAAGTTTATTTGATCTTTATTTTCAAAGTTAGCAAGTAAAAAGTACTAGAATTCTCATTGTGTTCGTATGATTTCTTCTAGCATGTCTCTTATACCTAAGACATATTCGAAACAATGAAAGAATGCTGCTTATTCAATCATTGGTGCGAGCAGAAGAAATTCAGATAGATTTGACTAAATTATTTCTACTACTTTGCTTGCTCTTTTAATATCTTTCTCTTGCTTTTGATGTTTTGTTTATTATTCTATATTTCACTCTATGTAATTCGTTTTTCTTTTTTTTCTATAGTATTATTTTCAAATAAAAAGTGTGCGATGAATGCAGCGGTTCTAATTGACAAAATATTCATCATTAATTTCACGAATTTTCGACTTTTATGGTCATTTTCAAGTAAATAGAAGATTTTTATTGCAAATGGAATGCAGTTAATCCTAACACAAAGAGAGAAAAATAAAGCCGAAGTGGATGCTCTCGTATCCAGTATTGGTAGACTAATCATCAAGACTCAACGACTGGTCCTTACTTATGGCTACAGATGTGTCTAACGGATGCCTGTTACACGTTTTGGTAGTATTGTTGCTTCAACGCCGCCAGGGAGAGTACTGATCGATTTGTACCATCCAACGCCGGACCAATAACTCTTAACAGATCACTAATAAGGTTCTGCTCTGCAAGATGGAAGGACATTTTGTTCTTAAAACCTTACTTTCAGTCAAGAGAATTACTTTGGCAGTTTTATTGGATATCAACAATGAGATATAGATGAGATGGTGCGTTTACTGAAAAACGGTACATGTTTAAGTCAATCACGATTTAGACGTTCTTTCAAATCTTCGTGGATTTGAATGTAAGATTGTTTGTTTAAAAGTTGCATTTTTCGTGAACTAATAAACTAGCAGTTAGAGGACAGTACAAGAGTATGATTGAATCTATGAACTGAGTTTCGATTGTAGTCAGTGACCTGTAGTTTGTGACATTTGTGAGGAATTTAAGACCCCCATTATTCATCGTTAAACCAATTGTCACTTCAACAACTCGAGTATGTGTCATTATCGTCATTCGGATTCAGATTCAATGTCAAAATTAATGCTTTCACTTAGTGATAGCAATAACAAGAAAAAGCTGACAAGCGTCAGTTAGTCATAATTGTATCGGATGCGGTAGAATGAATCAGCCTCTTAGTATTTTCTGTTTTTCTCGTGTTCTTTTAGGATACTAAGATTAGTATTTTCCTTAAAAGACACGCCGCGAAATACTCTACAAAACCATATCTAAACTTTAATTTCAGAACTGCAAGTCAGAAAACTACGTAAATTATACAAAAGGCGAAAAAACTGAAAATTTTGTAAAGAACACGTCTGGATAAATGAATTTTTCATCCCAAAGAATTTTCGAGAAAAAAGTACATGGCTGTAATCAGCTTCGAAAACTGAACAAAATGGCCGGTTCAGTTTTTCCAAAAACTACTTTCAATTTTTTCGAAAAATTTGAGGGCTGAGGTCGATCTCAGCAACACCGGAAAAAGTTTTCCCTCAGAAATGGATGAAAAATACATCACTAGAATCAGAATTCAACGCTGATTCGAGATATATCCTTGATTCTACTTAAAAGCGTCGACAAAAATGGAAACTCAGTGATTTTTGAAAAGAGGTATTTTTGACCTCTTTTAGTTTTGAACGATCAGCTGGCTTTCAAGTGAGATCTGAAAGCTCGAAACATACTCAGGAGTGTGTAGAATTATTCACTCTGCGACCAAAATTAGACTAATCCATCATTTCATTACTATTTTTAAGCCATAGCCAAGTCTCCATAAATTGAGAGAGATACATAGATCGATTCAATTTTTTACGCTGATTTCAAATCTGACCTCAAAAAATAAACAGTGGCGGACCCGGTTTTCTGGAAAATCAGTGTTTCAAGAACTCTGAAAAATAATCAAAATTTTTAATAGGATACGATTTTAGCCCGGATATTTCTGATTAAAACGAGACATCTTCTACCTGTACGCGACCTTTCTTTGCAAAGTTATAGAATTTACACGAAAAGCGCTTTTAAGCGCATTTATCCAGACTTGTCCTTTGTATTTTTTCGGCTTGAAATTTTTTCTTCTATTTTTATTTCCGTAAAACAATGTAACAAAAGTTAGAACAGTACTTCTTGTATTTTTGAATGTGTTCTTTCTCATGATCTATAAAAGCTCTTTTACTCTGTTGGTTATGACGTATCCGATATATAGTACTAAAATTATTGAAGCTTTGAAACCAATCTATGGCTTGTTTTTTACTAACAACCTTGAATAGCTAAATTCTTCTTCTCGTATTTTTAACTGCGTAGAATATATACAATAATGACTGCTGTCGATGATAAATTCATTCGTGTTACCTTTAACCAAATACTGTGAAAAATTAATTTTTTGCACTTTTACTGAATGATCAAACAACGCCCTTACCATTCATTGTTCCTTTTAAATTGAGTAGAAGAAAAGAAATAGCAATGATTTTATATCTCACATAAGTATTAATATAATTAAATAATAACAGTGCTTAATGAAGATAAATAAGAAAAGAAAACATTAAAAATAAATCAAACTGAACAAGATGAATCGAGTACATGATTTACTTTCCGTTGATATAAAAACATATTCCAATTAAATAGCTTTCTTGTGTAGGAATTTTACTTTCCACTGATTATTTGAATGAAAAGAAATGAGCAAGTTAACGTATTTTACAAAAACAATTAAACCTGAATATGATTTAAGAATAATTATGAGACCAAAAAAAACCTGCTGATTCATTTTTTCAAGTTAAAGATAATATCCCTAATTTGCTTCAATCAATAATTTAGTTTATACCGTTAATTGTAATGATTATGACAATTTGCATGTTGGTAAAGACATACTCAAAGTCTTTCTAGATCATCAACGAAGACTAGAACTAAAACACGAGTCACGCCGCACTCCAATGCAAGCAACTTAAGATGTTCTTCTCGAATAGCCAATAAAAACATAAATAATCTAACAACTGTATCTAATTTATCGACGATGACGATTCGATCTCTGCTCCTATGGTGGAAAAAGAAAATAAATTAGCAGTTTCTAAACATATTTCTGATACAAGATACAGAATCAATTGGGACGGCTTTAAAGATTTACTTAAAGCTAATAATCCATATAAATGATTAATAAAAGAATCTTTAGCAATTTTAAGTCATAAACCAAAATTGAACAACACCGTACCTTCTATTACTCTTTTTATTTTTTCTGGTGCTGTTTCACAAAGCTTAATCAAAGACTCAATTTGATAGAGTATCTATTTTTGCACATGTTTTACATCAGTTTGTTTATATTCTCTGTTTCTTCGTACTTATTTTTAACGTTATTTAGTTCATCTTTTCAACAATATGAAAAGTCTTCGTTTTTCTGTTATACTTCCAATATGCACATATATATTTTATTTTATCTCTATTTTCCAATTTTCAATAGAACTATGTATACCCACGTCGTTGGTGACGATGGCCGTATACGGCGAATTACGACCGTGTACCGTAACGTAACGCGCTGTAACTGGCCGTAATCCTATGCTCCGTAACACTGCATGCAGTGAATTATTATCCAAATGTTATTGTTAGAGGTTGTTTACTTCATTATTTATTTTATTGTCAAAGTCTATTTCGTGAATTTGTTGATCCTGGTTCAAAAACACCATACAAAGTTGACAAAAACATTGGTCATTGGTTCAGATCTTTCGCACCATTATCGTTATTATTATCAAAGCATATGTTATGGTGTCTCCAGTGTCTATTAGACACCGACTCAGTCATACTCGACCAGATTATTCAGGTATTCAAGAGTTTCTTGATTATTATCATAATACATATTGACCATTAAGTCGATTTCCACCAGATATGTATAGGATAGTTTCACGCAGTTGCGTCCATAATCTGAAACCCGGTCAGAAAGGACTCTTGTCATCGTTCAGCGCATGAAAAATCACTTATAAATCTATATATTTTAGCTGTTCAAACGATTCCGAGAATGACTGCCATAGCTCGCAAAAGACGATTTTATCCATATTCAAAGGTCCCTGGGTGGCTAATACCAATTTCACCGCTACATCTGAAACAGTGATGATCGATGAGAACACAAAATATTGCATATGTTCCACCAAAAATTTTGTTTTTCTTCGTTATTTTTTATACAAAACTTTTCCATAAAAAATCTAACCATCGATGCACTGACCGAAATTACGTTTTTTATTTCGAGAAAATTCATCCAAAGATTAAGAGTAACGAACAGAAAGCGCGACTGCAGCTTATCTGAATGCTACATGAACAAGCTCCAAAATCGCTTAGCTCCAACACTCCGGCATCCGAGACCTACTTTTAAATTTTGTGAGCTGTCCCCACGAAAAACACATGTGAACTTTTCGAGATATTATTATCTTAGATACTATTCGAGTAGCTCAACCAAAGCCGCCAAGTTTCAGAACTGGGGTCGGCTTTTCAGAAATCCTTAATCATTTTAGTCTCATATTTCATAAAGAACCAGCTTTGATCTCGGATTCGCGTTTAGACTCAAAAGACTGCATAGTTCAGTGTTTTCTACTCTTATAGAGGCTACCTGGAAGTCAGATTTTGACGAGGATTTATGGAAAACCGATCCCTAATTTGTTCGATCATGAAACTTGGCGACTTCTGTGTGAAAAAAGAGTATCAGGTTAGATTGATAGAATATCTGGAGAAACAGACATATAATTGACTAAATCATTTGTCGATCAAAGCAAGTTTTCTCCTAAGAGAATTTATTTTAAACACATGCATTTCGTTCAACGCAGAATGAAAACATATTACTTGTATCGGAAACAAGATGCAAGAACATTTCTGTTTTTGTTGATGTATGGATTATTATCGTTCTTTTTTTCGGTTTTTTCATCATCATACAGAGCGCAAAATGTACTTATATTACGGAGAAAAGTGACAAGTAAAAAAATAAAATCATTTTATAATAAGTCAACTTTAACTGAATAAAATTTGATCACATTTTACTTTCTGTGTTCTTCTAACAACACTTTTCCCTCAATACAAAGAAAACTAATCAAATCTTGTTAGAAAATAATAAAATCATTATTTATCTTCCGACTCCAGTGGATTATTCTTGACATACAATGGCAACATTGGGTCTGCCACGTCGGGATTCAATGAAACATTTAGATTTATATGATTTAGATGATCTAGACAAAAATCATATGTTTTCAACATTCTCATCAAAGGAACAACGATCGAATAAAGAACCTTCAACAGGATCATATTCATCAAATGACCGCATAGTCAAACCAACAAGAACAGAAAATTCGATAGTTCCATCAAGAAGGAATTATAAACCACCGCAACAAAATCAACAACAACGATTAAATGCTTACATTCAACCAGAAAATGTAGTGTTAAAACAAGAAAATGCAGTGTTAAAACAAGAAAGTATTGAATCGAGTGAAGGTGATAAACAAGAAAATTCTTCAGACGATGACAGTGATAATGAAGATAAAACCGAATCTGATAATGACGATACAAAGGGAAAAGATGAGGATTCTGACAGACGCCAATCATCATCAAGTAAAAGTAGTAGTAGCAGCAGTAGCAGCAATGCTACTAGTAGTGGTAGTTCAGACGAAGAACATAGCGGTGGCAGTGACAATAATGGTGATGATGATGATGATGCTCGCTTAGATAATGAACAAAAGAAAGATAAATGAAAATAAACTACAAGTGGTGCAAAGTTCTCTTTTTCTCCTAAGCTTGAATAATTCTTAAAATAGAAGACATCGAACCCGTTATTTTTTTGCTCAATATAAATTTATATCGATGTTCAATCAGTCGAAAAGTACATTAAACAAATGGATTGAAATTGACGTTTTTCTCGTCATTAACCATGCTAATACTTATGCTTGCTGGAAGAATAGTCCATAAACATAGTTCTCGACAAAAAAGACGTGTAGAGATAAAAAATAAATGTGTTGGGAAAAAGCTTGAAGCAAGTCGTTGGTTAACTACATACTCTGACTGTAACTGCTCATTAGAGAATTCTATGAATTCCACTGATGGCCCAGTAGTAAACGATAAGTCTTTATAAAATTCCTTGGCCCACTTACGTCAATAAACTCGAGCTTGCAATGAATTCGGATAAATTTCGTTTATGGAAACACTTTCTCTATCATGATAGAGAGTAATAATGTTGCAATATCGATCAGATTTTCGACAAAACTTAGTTATAATTTTACTGTGCTTTATCACGGTAAGAAGAGTATCCCGATACACTGTATCTGTATTTGAGATCTAATAACGGATGGCTACAGCACACGTTTCCGCAGTTATGGCTTCAGCACAATGTGGCTGCCTGTTTCCTTTCCCATTGAAACTTTCGGAAATGATTAGAAATTAATGCGAGCTAATTTAAAAAAGTCGCATATTAAATTAGTGCACATTAAATATTTTCTGATTAAAAATCAATTTGAATTAATTTAACTTAATAAATTAATATAAATCAATTGAATTTTAATCAGTTCGAATTAGTTTATCAAGTTAAATTAATTCAAATTGATTTTTAATCAGAAAATATTTAATGTGCATTAATTTCTAATTATTTCCAAAAGTTCCAATGAGTTTACAATAAATACTTAAGAGAACTTTCTATTCAAACCGCATCGTATGTGTAGTGTACTGCATTTATCAGCTTTGCGTTGATATAAAAATAAGATACATTTCAACATATTTTGATGAAGATAGAGGAAAAACATAACCTTTCCTCCCCCCATAACAGAAGACCATCTGGTCTTCTATTTTGTCCCGCAAGTCGAGTTCTAAAGGGCGGTCTTCTATTGCGGTCAAATTTTGTCGCCTGCTAGTAGTCCAACAGTAACCTCACGTACTTGAAGTCCGTCCCCTATTAAAAGTACGTTTTGGGGAAATTTTTTTGAAATTCCCCTCTAGGTAGGTGAAATTCCCCTATAGGGCATTTTCGGATTTTTTCCGCGGACATAACAGAAGACTAATGGTCTTCTATTTGGCTTCCAAGTCATATAATCGGCAGTGGTCTTCTATTATGGGGGGGGGGAGGGGGGTTTACCACAAACCGACGTATAAAAAGCCGGTTGGTAGATCCCTCTTCAAGACAACATCTGTCTAAAAACGACATCTATCCAACGCGTGGAACATAATACTAGAAATTTTTATCTTTTGTCGACATCCATGGATCTGCTTCCTCTTTAGAAACTTGATTTTAGTTCAGATAATAACATCACGCCTTCAGTTTCTTGTTCCTTTTGATTGTCATCGCATGATTACGAAAAACAAAAATGAAATGGTGAATCCCAAGCAAACGATCAAATGGAACAGCATGACACCAGGAGGAACAAAACTTAATCAATGATGTAAAATACTCTCGAATACATTAGGCATGCAACAATCCCAAGTTAAGGCTTGGTGCTAAACACTAAGCAGCTCGCTGAGCTCGGTCACCAAGCAGAACATGTTCGGTAACAGGTTGTAGATTGATAATTCGTCCCCTCTCGAATTTCTTATATGTCTTGTTCCTGTGCCATGTTTGCAAGCTTAGATTGGCTATTTTTAAAAGCTGTCATCTATCTTGTGGGCTGCTTAATAAAAGCATACATTTTCGTACGTCAAGAGCTTTTTTGCTATAGCAAATATGTTTCTTGTTTGCCATTGATCTTATTCAAAACGACTAATTGTAAGAATTTAATTTTTAATTCTGGATTATAGCAGCCTAGGGCTGGGTAACTCCCTGACTTTCAACTCGAACTCCACTCCAACTCCGTTTTCAAATTTTTGATTCAACTCCAACTTCGCCCAAAATTTTCCAACTCCAACTCCGTCAACAAAATCTAATATCCTACTATTCTCACATTCTACTATTCTAGTCGTCTACTATTCTGCTGTTCTAATATTCTACTATTATAGACTTTTACTATCCGAATCATTTCTATCCAACAACTTAATTCGTAATATAATGAAGCAATGCAAATTATGCACTACTAATATGGCTTAAAATGTTCTTCTATTCTACTTAGTATCATACAATTCTAGGTACCCAATAGAATACTAAACCAAGTAAAAATTTCTATCTAAGGGAAATTCGCTCACCTCTGGATTTTGGACGTTTTCGAGCTTTTTCCGGTCGGAAAACGCAAAGAACTTCCGAATTCACTCCTGAATATAGCCACTCAATCGTTTAGAAGATCCGTTTTACAACCATTGGATATTTTCAAAAATGCAAAACGGAGTTGAGAATAAAAATTCAAAAATCCAACTCCAACCCCTTAAAATCTCAACTCCAGCTCCAACTCCACCAAAAAAATCCTCAACTCTGGAGTTAGAGTTGCCCAACCCCGTAGCACCCGAGTAAATTGAGATTATTTTTATTTTATTCACAATATTTTGACCTTAACCGGTCATTATCAAGTAAGAAATAAACTGTTAAAGATGTAAAAAGGTTTATCTAAAAGACACAAGAAAAACTGAGTTATAACTGTTTATAACTTTTTTGTTCCTGCTTCCATTCTATAAATACATTGACTGAATTTAGTAAATACAAAATAAAGAGCCATATATACTTTGTGGATTTTCCGGGTGCTCCTCTTCAATGCAACGGCTCGCTTTTTTCAAAATTCTTTCAAAAATGATTGAGTTATTATCAAATGACGTTTGCGATTTTAGGCAAAATCACCTAAATTTCAGTAAAACGCGACTACAGTCGGAAGGAAAACGAATGTTGAAAAAAGCGGGCCTTTGTTTTGAAGAGGAGTACCCAGCGAATCTAACCATGTAAAAATATTGACTTCTCGATCCTTCAGAAAGCACCTGCCGTTTTTTTAAAATGAGATCTGTTTTTTGGCCGCTTCGCTTTTAATGTCCTTGGCGGATAGGCGCTTAGGTCTAATGCTTTCAGTCCATATTCTAGTTCGGTTTTCAACGCTGAACAAGAATATGTGTGTTTGAATGTTTCAAGTTGTAACCAGACTTGGAAAACTCAACTTTAAAAAAAGGCGTGAAAAACCGAATTTTTGACCTTTTCCGAGTATTTTGCAGTTTTCTCAGCTAGAATCAGCGCGCAATTCACTATCAAACGGTGTGTAAATCGTCGAAAACTAAATTCCGCTTGAACTCTGCTTCAGGTGCATCGTACATTGACTGAATTTAGTCAATACAGGATAAAGAGTTGTACCTTGTAGAATGGAGAATACATGAATGAACACAAATATAGTTATATATGTTTCGAGTATTATTTTATTTTATTTTTATTTTTGTTTCTTATCCTGAAGCTGATTTCTTTAGCCCATCCGGATATACGGTGCCCGCAATTCAAAACTTAAGCACAGTATTTTTCTTCGATATTTATACATGGTTCGACGCAGCTCCTCGAGTTGAATCTGAATATGTGTGTTACATGGTTTCGAATCAAGTTTTCAGGGTCAAAAACTCGAAATTTTCGATTTTTCAAAAACTCGTTGTTTCTCGAAAACGAATGCAGAACTCAAATACCTTGCCTTACAGAACCTTGGACATTTTGTTTTCATGTTCTCGGTCGAAACTGCATCAGAAAAATGTTTCTAACTTTCGTAAGTGTAGGATGGCCGAAAAAAATTTCGCTTTATTGCAGATGGTCAAAATCCGCTCATGACAGTACAAAAAGCATCAAGTCTGTTAAGACGGAAGATGAACCAGAAATTTTACCTTCATTATTCTCGTCCTCAATGTGTGCAAAAAGTTACGTGTCCTTTTCCTTTGATTATTTTTCTTCGTTGAGATACAGCTATTTCTTTGACGATATCTTCAAGCAAGCAAGCCATTCTCGGATAAAATCTACAGTTTTCAAATAAAATTAGTCACACTAACTCGAAACAGGTAAAATCCGATGCTGAATCTAATCATGACATTTACAAAATCTCTGGTGATTTCTAGGAAGTCTCTGGAAAACTTCTGGCTTAAAAACCGTTCTTTTTTTTACTATCGCATGATGTTTGATTCATTAGACGATGTTATATTTTGTAGGTCCGTTAAATAGCTGTTTACAAGAGAAACCGTCTGTATGATCAACACCTATTTTAGAAGGTATGAGGGACCGTAGCTTCGTGCGTGCTAAACATGTCTGACTCTTTCTTTTAGATGTATGTGGCATTGTAAGACGAAGAAACTAAGAACAACTTAGAACTTAATTCAAAACAATACTCGAGAGTAGTACTTGTTTGTATGAACAAGTGTTAGGTTCTGTACTTACGGCATTTGTCTAACTTAATCCTTCTTCAGTAGTTGTTAAAACAATAGTGATGTTATTTTAATATATTTAATTCCATAAAATAACAAACTACAATCCCAGAATAAATATGCCTCGAATGAACGTTTGCATCTCTATATGTTTTTTTTTTCCCTATATATACCCACAGAAGGAGGGAGAGGAGATAGAAGAATAGAGAAACATAGAACGACTTCAATGAAAACAATGGAAAATGTGTTCACATTCACATAACGCATTTCATATTCACAATGAGACATTCAAAATAGAGAGAGAGAAAATACGTGAAAGCTAAGATATGTTTGATCTTGAAGAAAAGAGCGCAATAGAAGATTAAATATTCGTCCGCTCAACTACACATACACATACACATACAGATAGAAAGAAATACGCGAACAAGAAAGTGATGTGAAGAAAGCTAAGCATTGGCATTTGGTTAATACC